AACGTCCCACAGGTTTGAGGCGCCAGACCCGCGGGCAGTCCCTCTGGGAGGACAGCGTGGGCTCCATTGTAAAGGGCTTAGTTCCTGTTGCTTTTATTTTATTTTATTTTATTTTTTCATCCCACAAGAAGCCATAACTTGATTAATGATAGAAACAGGACACGTTTCAAACCAAGCTGCAGTAGCTCTTTTGAAACTCTCGCCAAAAGGGTCCTCCCTTTCAGATGGCACCCTGGTTGGTTCCACGATAGCATTCGAGGGAGCACGGCTGTTGCTCTTCCGGGCTCGGGCCGCCGTTGCTCCCACACATTTGCTTGGGACGCGGCCAGTTCTATGTGCCCAACTTCCACACCTGCTCCCCCAGCCTCTTCCTCTTCGCTCTCCCCTTGGACAGTGGAGCCTGTGTGTTTCCTTGAATGCTGAGACGGCTTCGCCTTGAACTGTGAACTGCTCAGCAGCTGCCGGCTGTGCTCGCTGAGCTAATCCTCGACCTTGGCTTCCCCAGACACGCTGTAGGGATCGAAGCAGGGCTCTTGTGGCATCTGGCTTTGTGCGGACAAAGAGGGTGTTCTTAGGTTTCCGCATGGCGACCCTGGCGACCCCTGTGACCCGTCGAAGACCCCGTTTGGACACAGCCTTCCGGGCCTTCTTTCCACTCCGGCTGCTTTGCTCTGCCGACTGGTTCCCCATCGATTCCAGCCGCCGCCAGCGGGGCTGGTTGTGTGGTGGCCTGCGTGGAATCTTGTTCTCCGAGCTCCCGTCCTGATTCATCGCTGTCAGATTCTGCCCCAGACCCTGTCTCAGCCTGGGGCTGTGGCGGGACGGTTTCTGCGGCTTCACCGGGCATTTTGTGCGGGAACGCGGAGCCAAGATGGCGCAGAAAGAGAGCGAGCGACAGCGCGACCCTTGCCTGCTGCAGAAGGAAGCCCCGTGTGGCTCCTCCCAGCGGGGCCCGGGCTGGCGTCCAGCTGGGACTGCGCGGCCGGGTCCGGTCAGCTCGGCACAGCTGCCGCTCCTCCTGGACGTGAGCCTGTGGCCTGTGGCCGCCTCCTGGAGACCTGCCAGCGCGGTGCCTCCCGGCCTCCCACCGGCTGTCACCCTGTGATCCTGGCGCTGTAACCCGTGTTCCTTCCCCCGTTCAGTTGCTGCCTTCGCTGCTGGCGTTCCTGGCGGCTCAGGGGGTGGGAGCCAGCGGCTCAGGCCCTTGACGGCGGTGGCTGACGGGCCAGGCGCGGGCTCCCTGCGGGATGAGCTCGGGCAGGGCAGCCGGCATCTCGCCTCCCTCAGATTCTGGAACTTGGTCGGGCTCCTCTCTGCTGCCGGGGCCGTGCTCCCTCCATCTTTAGACTTTTCGCCGTTCGCTTGTCGAGCTGCTATTATGTGTTGGGCGCTGGTTTCAGGCACTGAGGACAGGGGACAAGGCCCCGGACTTCACTGAGCTTATATTCCGACAGGCAAACAAGCAAGCACATCCTGGAAGTAGCCTCATTTCAGAGGAATATGCGCAACAGGAAAACAGAGCAAAGACAGGAAGACGAGGGTGGCTGGGGTGGGACACTGGTGAGGCCTCTGAGGGCGTTTGAGGTCAGATTGATGAGATGAGCTGGGAGGGCGAAGACCCGGGGAACAGGCCATTCAGGGCGGAGGGAACAGCAGGTGCAAAGGCCCTGGGGCAGGGGTGAGGCTGACCCCCTGGAGGAGATTACAGAGGGAGGGGCGGGGCGAGGGGTTGGCAGGTGTCAGGGACCACAGGTCCCCTCAGGGCTTGGAACGGATGCAGGGGAAATGGAAAAGCCCTTAGAGATCTTTATGTGTAAAAGAATGTGATCTGAAGTTGTAAGTTCCATGTGTTTTTCGCTCAGTTCCCCGGCTGTGAACGTCCCACCCCCATCACGGCATCCCTTTCTGTCTTTCTGAACCGTTAGCGCGTAGGTGACAGGCACGCTGCTCCTTCTCCTGGCTACGCCGACGTGCCTTAAAATGACCTTACATAGCGCAGCACCCGCATCCAGAGCAGGCGATGAACGTGGGTGAGATCGATCAGATAATCACGGCCTTTTCCCGATGCTGGCAACTGCTCCCACGACGCCCTCGAAGGCAAAAGAGAACCCGCGAATGTGCCGCATGCCCCCACGCCCCTTCGCGGGCCTGTGCTCCAGGCCGCCGCCCAGAGCTCCTTTTTTGCCCGTCGGCATTGCTCCTTCCGAAGGGAACAGGCCAGTGACCCGGCAAGACGGCCCTCACCCGGGCGTGTCTGTTGATGCCCCGCGATCAGATCTAAGCCGTGCCTTTTACAACCAGCCTTAATGTGTATCCTATTATTTAGCAAATGCCTTTTACAACCAGCTCCATTTTCAACATACGTTTATTTAAACCTCGAAGCCTTCCATCGCTATCCCAGACCTCAAGCCAGTGTGACTTCAGTTACTAGAATAGATTCCCAGAAACGAGTAAGACCCTGAGGACAGCGTCACCCACCAGCCCACCCGCCAAGCCCGCCAGCGCCCTCGTAACGGGGTTAGGGGTCAAAGGCTGAGCGGCACCGCCCGTGCTCGAGGGCCGAGGAATTAGAAAGGGGATCAGGTGCTTACGCTGCGGTTCAGTGCTGTTAACCTGGAATCCTAACGGGTCGCTAACCGCTGGGGAGATGAGCCGGGCGGAGCAGTGGGGGTGGTGCTGGGAGGGAGGAGAGCACAGTCTGGCCCGCGCAGCCTAAAGTCAGAGGCCGTCAGAGGGGAGGCCCCGCCCCCCGCCCCCCCAAGTCAGACCTCCACTGGCCCAACTCACCCACGTACCAGGGAGAAACTGAGGCCCTGAAACGGGGCCGGGACTTACCCAGGGTCATAGTGAGAGCTGGCCCCGGCTCTGTCATCTCTCAGGGTCACTCCCACCCGCTTCCCGCTGAAAATGAGACGTGACGTGAACATTAATCATCCTTATTGTAAAAGTGGTGCAAGAACCACATTAAAGAAACCCGCCCCGGCGCCCTCAGGGCACACGCCTCTCGTCTTGGAGGAGGGGTGGGCATGAGGGTCTGGAGGGAAGCGCGCGGCACAGACCGAGTCCTCGGTAAACGGACGCGGGCCGCGCCCCCTGCCCAGGGGGCAGGTGCACACGCACCGTGGGGTTTGCGTTGAGCTGCTCAGGCCCCTCTGAGCCTGGGGGTCCTCTGACCACCTGGCAGCTGCAGAGAAGGGCTAGTTCGGCGCCGCGGGGACCTGAGCGAGCCTCGGGCCAGCACCACAGGAGCCTGTGCTCAGAGAGGGACTCCTGTTTCCATGGCAACTGCCGTCCACGTCTCATCTCCTGGACCACAGGGCCCAGTGCAGGGCCCGGGAAGGGACGGCAGGTGGAGTGGGGGCAGCTCTGCTGAGGCTCCCAGGAGGGCGGGGAGGGGGCAGGAATGGCCCCGTGGCCTCAGAGGACGGACGGTTTAACGCCTCGGGTGGGAGGAAGATGCAACCGGCCCTTGAGCAATAGGGGTTTGCACTGCGTGGGCCCACTCACGTGTGGATTTAAAAAACCAAACGCTATGCATTTATTTCCTCTTCCTTACGGTTCCCTTGATAACAGAGTCTATTCTCTAGCTGGCTTCATTGTAAGAGCCCGGTAGGTGATACACAGAACCCACAGCAGGCGTGTTCGCGGCTGTGTATGTCAGCAGGAAGGCTTCTGGTCAGCAGGAAGTTATCCGTGGTTAAGTTTAGGGGGAGTCAAAAGTTCTACGTGGATTTTCGATTGCGTGTGGGGGGCTGGCACCCCTGACCCCCGCGTGGCTCAAGAGTCAGCTGTGTGGCCAGCGGCCAGCGGCCTCCCTTTCCTCTCAGGACTGGGCAGCAGGGAGCAGGGCAGCGCCTTGCGTGGGGCAGGAGCGGCAGCTGCCGTGGACAGTGAGCTAAGCATTCCACAGACAGTGTCCACGCGCCCCCAGAGCACGCGCCGTGGCCCGTCCCACGCCCAGTGCTGCGCGGGACCCGCGGTCCAGCTGCTCCGGGCCACACGGCAGAGGCAGCTCGGGTCCCTGCGTCTTCCCCGCGTCTCCATCCTCAGTCACGAAAGAGGAATGTCCCGGGGCCGCGCTGTCTGGCCGGGCACCGGTTTCTGTCCCTCGGCCCCTTTCCTCATTTGTGAAGAGGGGGGGCTGGCCCGTCCTCCCTGCGCCGGGGAAGGTCAGCGCGCCGATAGATGCGAAGGCCCGCACGGTCGGCCCCGGCCAACGCTGACCCCTCCGCCTGGAAGCTCGTGCCATCCACGGCTCGCGGCCCAGGAGCACCCGCTCACCGAGGGCCTGGCACGAATCTCCCACACATTCTCCACCAAAACGTTTTTTTAAAAATAACGCCATTTTCAAGCTGCTGCTGCTGCTTTTATTTTTTTTTTCAGATCCTCACCCGAGGATATTTTCCCATTGATTTTTAGATAGAGTGGAAGAGAGAGGGAGAGACAGAGAGAGACATTGATGTGAGAGAGACACATCCATGGGTTGCCGCCTGCACGAGTCCCACCAGGGGCCGGGGCCGGGGAGGAGCCTGCCACCGAGGCACGTGCTCTTGACCGAATCGAACCCGGGACCCTTTGCAGGCCGACGCTCTACCCACGGAGCCAAACCGCTTAGGGATCCAGCGTCTTTGGTATGTCAGGTGTTTTACAGAGATTGTACCCGTTCAGCCACAATATCTTCCTGAGCTACTGCCAGCGAGTTGGGCTCTGGCAGGGACAGGGACCGGGCTGGCGAGGGGTCATTCACGGGTGTGTGGTCCGGCCCTTCCTCTCTGCTCCGCTGCGGTTCCTGAGGACACACGCACTTAACATGTGACGTGGCGGGCGCTGCGGCTCTGCAGCCTGAGGCTTCCCCTCCCTGGGGGAGGCGAGGGCACCCCAGGCCCAGGCCCTGTCTTTCCGAGGCCCCATCAGCCACAGCGGCTCCAGCAGTGCCCCTGCCTCTGTGCCCTCCGTGCCCAGTTCTCTCACCCACCGCGGCTGCCACTGGTTGGTTTCAGGTCACCCGTCGCCAGCCCCATCCGGCCAGACCAGCCCCAGCCCCAGCCATGCCGCAAGCCAGCCCGCGGAGCCAGGTGAGGACATGGCCTTTGGGGCCCTGGTCAGTGTCCCGAGGCCCAGCAGGCGTGTCTGGGGGGACAGGAGGAGGACATGGGCTTGTAGGCTGCCAGGGAGGCTCCCTAACTTCAGACCACACCACCTTCCTCGCCCAGTGTCTGCAGGGCCTCCTCAGGTCCCCTGGGAGCCTGAGAGCCACCATCTGAGGGGCCACTGGGAAGTCACATCCACGTGGCCAGGGTGCGGGGAGCATCTTAGGGGATCTGCTGAGAAGAAGCTGAAAAGCCTTGATGGGTGGGGGTGCTTGGGGGGGGGCGGGTCCCACCAGGTGGGTCCTAGGTGAGCTCCACAGACATTTGTAAAGGACCCACCCTGTGCCAAGCTGAGCACTAACACTGGGGGTGCAATGCTGGGAGGCTCCCCAAGGAGGGGCTCTGGGGGAGGGAGAACTACCTCACACCCCATCACCCTGTCACCCCATCACCCTGTCACCCCATCACCCCATCAACCCGTCACCCTGTCACCCCATCACCCTGTCACCCCATCACCCTGTCACCCCATCACCCCATCAACCCGTCACCCTGTCACCCCATCATCCTGTCACCCCATCACCCTGTCACCCCATCACCCCATCAACCCGTCACCGCCCCACCCCGTCTGCCCTGTGGGTTCCCGGTAGCAGGGGCCTCCCCTGGGTCAGTACCCTCAGGACAGAGAGGCCCCGCAATACCAGGGGCCTCTGAGCCCAGAGCCCTGCCCTTCCTCACACAAGGGTGCCCCCTGGGTCCCAGGCCCACTTCTCCTTCACCCCTAGAGTCACCCTCAGCCCCTCCTCCTGACCTAAGAAGAAGCAGGGTTCAGGCCTAAGGGGGGCTTGGGGATGACCAGCCCAGCCCCTGAGGCCCGGGGTCAGGAGGCAGGAAGGGGCGGGGCCCTGGGAGCCGCTGCCCCCCTGCGTCCTGGCACCAGCAGGGCCTGCGGGGCTTCACCGGGCCTGGTGCTTACAGGGCAGCGGCTGGAGGTCCGCCTGGTGAACGGCAGCGACCGCTGCAGCGGGACCGTGGAGGTGCGGGCAGGAGGGTCCTGGGAGCTCCCATGCGGGGCGCCCTGGGACCACAGCGCCTCCGAGGCCTTGTGCCGTGCGCTGGGCTGCGGCGGGGCCGAGTGGGGGCCGGACCAGCCCACCCCGCTGCCGCTGGACCGTGCCCCGGGGAACGCCAGCGGGACCCCGAACGCCACGTGGGCCCTGGCGCCCATCGTCCTGTGCAGCAGCAGCGAGTGGCAGCTCTGCAGGGTGGAGCAGCACCCGTGCGACCCCGACGGGCAGCCGGCCCAGGTCACCTGTGCAGGTACAGCCTTGCGGATCCCAGACCGCCTGCCCCAGCCACTGCCCCAGCCCTGGGCACTGGGCCCGAGCTGCCCTCCGGACGTCCAGCCCCACCCACCACCATCGCAAACACAACTGGTGCCCACACCCCAGGGCACAGCTTGGTCCCACGTCCAGCTCTGAGCCTGTCCTCAGATCGGCCTGCAGGCCCCCCCCCCCCCCCGCCCCGCCCATCTCCCATCGGCCTGCTTGGTCCTCAGCCCAACCCCTAAGTCCCCAGTCCTCATGGCGGCTGCAGGCTTTACTCACGGTCCCGCCCCTCATCCCTCTCTGGACCTCCGTCTCCTTTATCCCCACCCCTGACCCCAAATACATCAAGATGCCAGGTTCCCAGGGTCCCTTAGCACTGAGCTCCCTGGCCTGGGCCCTGCTCTTCAGGCCCCGCCCACTAGTTCGCTCCAGGTGCCTAGCCCCGACCACCGGCTCCACAGCCCTGCCTGCAAAGCGTCCAGCTTTGCCCACGGAGTCCCAAGTCTTAACCAGTCCCCCCCACCTCTGCTCACCAAGTCCCCTGCCCTGCAGGGCTGCCCCGTCCTGCCCGCAGGGTTACAGCCCCTCTCACTGGGTCACAGCCCTGCCCACCACAACCTGGCCCCGTCCCACCGCCCCCCTCCCTTCCTCTCCCTCTTCCCCGCCCTCCCCCATAACCCCTCCCTCCCACCCCCAGAGAACCGCGACCTGCGGCTGGTGGATGGCGGCAGCCCCTGTGCTGGCCGCGTGGAGATGCTGGAGCACGGCCAGTGGGGGTCTCTGTGCGATGACACGTGGGACCTGGAGGACGCCCACGTGGTGTGCAGGCAGCTGAGCTGCGGCACGGCCATCCAGGCCCTGCCGGGCTTGCACTTTGCCCCCGGCCGAGGACCCATCCACCGGGACCAGGTGAACTGCTCGGGGACCGAGGCCTACCTGTGGGACTGCCCGGGGCGGCCTGGAGAGCGCTACTGTGGCCACAAGGAGGACGCTGGCGTGGTGTGCTCAGGTCAGTGGGTGACGCCTCTGCACCCCAGTCCTCCCCCAGCACGCACTGTGGGCCTCCTGGGCGCCAGGCCTGGAGTTCGTGCTGGAGAGATTGTCCCTGTCCTTGCATGGTCACTGTCCAGGAGGGAGGATGAGACCAGACCAGCATAACCCCAGGCAATGAGTGGTAAACGCCCTCAGAGAGAAAGCCAGGGGAAGCTTAGAGGCAGTGGGCACCCCAGAGCCGGAGGGATAAACCCGCCCACATCTTAGGGGGAGGCTCTTCCTGAGTGGGAGGTAGTCACCTGGTCAGAGCAGCACGGGAAAACGGAGGCAGGGAGGCCCTGAGGAGGCTGCTGGCCCAGAGGAGGCCATGAAGCTCTGGTCCAGCCAATGCTTCTCTATAATGTGCACAGGAACTGGGGGGAAGGAGGGTCTCGTTAAATGTAGATTCTGATTCCGTGGTTCTGGGACACGATCTGAGATTCTGCATTTTTCACAAGATCCTGTAACCAAACCCAGGCTCAGCTGCCTCTTTCCACAAACGCCAAACTTGCGAGACAGGTGCTGGTGAGAAGGAAATAGGTTTATTCAAGTGCCGGCCACCTGAGAAGATGGGAAACTCTTGTCCCAAAGCCCATCTTAACATCTTTATAAGGAGGGAGAGGGAAAGCAGGAGTTGGGGGGGGGGGTGTGTGGACAGGCAGGCAGTGTCCCTGCTGGTCCCAGTATGGATGTTCATGGTCAGCGTCCTCGAGTGGCCATCTGGTTTTCTGAGGCCCTGAGGTCAGGTGCTGCTTAGGTTCCTGCAGGAACTGACACTGCTGATCTGTAAACGATACTGAAAAAACTTTAACATGCAGACTCCAGTGTTGATAGAAAAGTCAGGTTAGAGTCACCAGATGGGCTTAATGTGTACTAAGATGATAGAAGTAGAGCATAGTCATTGCCCATTACAATCCAGGTGACGCTGATGCTGCCGGTCCACGGATCACACTTTGAGTAACAAAGACATAGGAGCTAGAGCAGACGGGGAGGAGGAGAGGGGCTTGCAGACGCCGGAGGGAGAGCACGCGTGTGGAGACTGACCGGCCGTGGGCTGTTTCAGTTGTGGGTCGGGCTGGTGGGGCTTTGGGCCTAACGGATCCTGACCTGCTCTCTCCCCCCTCTTGCTCCCCACAGAGCACCAGACCTTGCACCTGACGGGGGGCACCGACCGCTGCGAGGGGCAGGTGGAGGTGCACTTCCGCGGGGCCTGGAACACGGTGTGCGACAGCGAGTGGTACACATCGGAGGCCCAGGTGCTCTGCCGGGCCTTGGGCTGTGGCACCGTGGCCGGAATTCCCAGGGGGCTGCCCCACTCCCTGCCCGGCCGGATGTACTACTCGTGCCAGGGAGACGAGCCCACCCTCTCGGACTGTTCCTGGCGGTTCAACAACTCCAACCTGTGCAGCCAGTCGAAGGCAGCCAGGGTCCTCTGCTCAGGTACCCGCCCCCCCTGCCCCCCCAGGTGTGGACCAGGACTTCCACCTGAATCCACAGCCTGGAATGGCAGCCCCCGTCCCACAGCGTGGACTAGATGGGGCATGATATGGCCTGGCATTAGAGGGACCACCTCGCCTCCAGGCCCCGGCAGATGCTGCTAGCTAACCAGGGCGTCTCTCCCACAAACCCCCCACGCAGCCTCAGGACCAGGCACCGGATCTTATGATGCATTTTCTGTGCTGGTCCGTGGTGTCTGTGGGCTGGGGTTGGCCCAGGAGATGAAAGCAACTTGCCACCCCAGGGCTGGTGATCATAGTAAAAATCACAGTAGGAGACACGGATAGTAATAACAGCACTGACTGTGCCTGGAGCCCTGATCCTGGGCCCGGCCTCGCCAAGCGCCTGGTCTGTCTTATTTTGGCGAAGACTCACACCCACGTGGGACCTGGGTCCTACTGACCTTTGACAACCCCGATGGCAGCGAGAGGGCACGCCGTCGCTGTGTATGCGCCGTGACGGACAAAGTGCTGCCCAAGTAAACTCTTACGTGTCATCAGTTGTGATGATTGACGCCATCATCCCGATTTCAGGGCAGTTACGGTGAACACGCGGGAGGGTTAGACCTGAAGAAACGCGGTGGGAGCGTGACTGGGCCTCAGTTCCAGGCCAGGTGGATCTGATGCTAGCCACGCCCTGGCGGCTGGGAAATCCCGGAACACCCCCCGGGACCTTGGGGTCGTGCCCTCCCTTACCTGCCAAGTGCTTATGATAACGACGAGGGTCAGCGTCCCCCTCCTGCGCCCTCCCCGCCCCCCCCAGCAAACCCGCCCAATGGGAAAGGGATTCGGGGTCTGCAGCAGGTTGCACGGAAGGGGGAGCGCACTGTTATTGGCCCCACATTCTAACCAAGGGGCCTTCCCAGCATGAAACCCATGATGCTCTCCTTAGTGTGTGTGTGTGGGGGGGGGGGCGCGGGGAGGCGGTTTCCTCAGCCACATGCCCCCTGGGACCCTGCCCCGGTCCCAGGTCACTGTCTGTGGTGGCGCACAGTAGGTGCTCCGTCACAGGTGCGAGTGAATGCGTGGTGCTCCCCGACAGGTTCCCGGAAGCTGCTCAATCAGTCCACGTCTGACCTTCTTACCAGCGCACAGCCGGCCACCATAGGTGAGTGCCTCAGACTCGGGGACATAGGTGCACGTGTGTGTACATGTGTGTGTATGTATGTACGCATGTGTGTGTCTGCATGGGTGGGGCCTGATCGAGGCTTGTCCCCACCTCCAGACACTGGACTTGCCTCCCCCAGGCTCTCGGGGTGCCTTGTGGCCCCCCACCCCCACCCTGCCAGCTCCACAGCTCCCTGAATCCTGCTGCTTCGGGGCAGGAGTCCACTCCCCGCTCCCCTGCAGCTCTGCTCGGGCAGGAGGCAGCGCTGGAGAGGCGAGCGGGTCTGACACGGGCCAGGTGGGGGGCGAGGTGAGCGGCCAGCGTGTTTATCGTGTTCCGGGCACCGGCCCAGTACTTGTTTCCCAGCCTTTCGTCCCGCAGCCGCCGCCCGGGGGGTCTCGTCCGAACCCTTAGGCGGAGGGAGGAGGCCAGGCTCAGGGGGTGAGAAGGCAGCAGCCAGTGGGGCTGGATTTGCATCCAAGTTCTGAACCCAGACCCACGCTCGGCCTGTCGCCAGCGGCGTGTAGCGTGGCCGGCGCAGGGCAGACCCCGAGGCGGAACCCCAGCGGGGCTCGTGCAGCCGTGTGACGCGCAGTTCTCACGCTCTCCGAGCGCAGGCCCTTGGCTGGGAAGCGGGGTGGGTAAGCGTGGCACCCCCCACCCCCCGGTGCTGCTGGGAGCCCCTGGATGAATGTGTATGAAGCGCGAAGAATAGAGTGGGAGCCGGCCCGTCGGCACTGTCAGGGCGCCGGCTGCTCTGTGATGGTTGAGTCCGGCTGGAGCCCGCGTGCGCACTGCGGGGCGAGGCCAGCCTTCCCCCCCCACGGAGAGCCAGGTGCCCGGGGCAGGGCCGCGGCCCCCAGTCCCCACCGGCCCTCCAGCAGAGCGGGCCCCTCACGGTGCTGGGCTGCGTGGGCGGTGGGTCACCCCGCTGGGCAGAGGCCTGGCGGCCTGGGCGCCGTGGTCACGCAGCCGGCACTCAGTACAGCTGAGCAGAGAGCTCCCTGGGGGCGGGTGGGGGGGAGGGGACAGGAGAAAATGTCACCCAGTCTGACTCATTCAGGATGCGTTTGCGGAGGCACCTCCAGGCCGAGGAGAAGACATGTTTTAAAGGGCAGAGGGGCCCAGGTCCCACGAAAAGAGGGTCCGCTGCAGGCAGGACGGGGAGGCGAGGAGAGGGGCGCGGAGAAGCCTGTGTCCGCTCCTCCCCCTCCCTGACTCGGGCTCTTGCTTCCAGGGCCGTCACTGACTGTGCCAGCGGAGGACTGGACGCCTTGGGAGCTGATGCTCCTCATCCTCTGCTTCGTCCTGGGGACCCTCCTGCTGGGCGCGCTCATCAGCATCCTGGTCCTCCTCTTGAGAGTGAAAGGGAAATACGGTGGGTGCGGCGCCCCGGGAAGGCCCAGGCCCGGGGTGCAGCCCTCTTGGGGGGGGGAGGACCCCAGCAGGAGGAGCAGCGATTGAGCCCTGGACTTGGGAGAACCTCTTGTTGGGAAGGATTTTCCCAGCATGCCCAGCAGAAGTGGACCAGTGTGGCCCCATGGGAGGACCAGACCGTGTGCGTGCCTTGTGGGGGCGGGGGGCAGTGCGGAGGGAGACGGACAGAGCCAGGCAGACGGGAAGGGAACCAGCGATGACTTGCAGGGTCTCTGCCTCCTCCCTCAGCCCTCCCTGCTGCGGCGACGCACCAACACCGGCCCGTCGCCCCAGCCGGGGTCAATAGCTACCAGGAGGTCCCCAGCACCGTCCCCAAGGAGGAAGGTAGGCTGTGACTCCCTGGGGTGGGGGGCTGGAGCAGACAGGAAGGGCTCCAAGCAGGGCCCCAGCTGGGAGGAGGCCTGGGCCAGCCTCCGCCGGGCCGTGATGGGGGAGCTTGCCGGGCCGTCATTCCAGGCCCCTAGGCTTCCGAGTTCGGGACCCACACAGGACCTTGCTCCCCCCGGAAATCTCTGCTCTGCTAGTTGGCCAGTAGGTTGTGATGTCATTTCCTCTCTTTTTTTAAAAAAAATTTATGTTTTTATTGATTTCAGAGAGGAAGGGAGAGGGAGAGAGAAACATCAATGATGAGAAAGAATCATGGGTTGGCTGCCTCCCGCACGCCCCCTGTTGGGGATCGAGCCCACAACCCAGGCACGTGCCATTGACCAGAATCGAGCCCGGGACCCTTGAATCCACAGGCCGACGCTCTGTCCACTGAGCCACACCGGCCAGGGCTGTCATTTCCTCTCTCGGTGGCTTGTCCGCTCAGCCTCGCTGCAGGGCCCCTGGGACATCGGAACTTGGGTCGTCACCATGCTTTATGCACACGGGCCGCACCTCTCGGAACTCGGGTCGCCGAGCTGGAGTCTAAGCACATTGTGCTGTGACTATCGAATCGCCTTTGTCTGAAAACCGGGCGGAGCCCAGCCGCGCATTAATAACATGCCCTGCAGCACCCGTATGCGAGCATGAACACAGACCCTGGCAGGGCTGGCTCAGAGTGGCCACTCACCGAGCGTGAGGTCGAGGGGCCAGGTGAGGGCCTCGGTGCCTCAGTTTCCTCAGCTGCACAGTGGGGCTCCGACGGACCCTACCTCCCGAAGCTGCTGTGAGGACTAGTGAGACAAGGTCTGTGAACGTTAGAATGGCGCGGGCAGGCCGTGACCGCCGTGTAAGTGTTCGTTACCTGAGTGTCATGCAGTTCCCCGTGTTTGCAACAGGCGGAGACAGCTGGGAAAACCCAGGCTGTGGTCTTGTGCCAGACGGGCTGCCTGGCACTCTCCCTGCCTCTCTGCTCTCGCCATCTACGCTGTCTGCGCCTCTCCCTGCGCCCTCCGCCCTCCGCCCACCACTTGCCCGTGGACCCCACTCTGTTCTCTCCCCAGCTCCCAAGCTGCCCCTCCAGGTCCAGGCTCCGCCCCCCGCGGACGCGGACTCCAGCTCCGACTCAGACTATGAGCACTATGACTTCAGCGCCCAGCCTCCCGTGGCCCTGACTACCTTCTACAGTGAGTGCCGGGCCGGGCCCAGGGCCCTCTTGCCTGAGCCAGGGAGAGGCCCGGCTGCCGGGGGCCTCCAGCAGATCCCACCTGATGACCCCTGCACAGCTGGGGTGGAATCCCCCTTGTTGCCCACCGGGTCCACTGTAGGTGGCCCCGCACTGACGTTTTCAAAGTGCTCTGCGGCCCTGGAGGCCTCTCCATGCTCCAGGCACTTCCCGTCCCCGCCTCCTCCCCGCCCACGCCCGCCTCTGGCCACCAGGGCCTTCAGGCCGGTCCTTCGCCACTTGCCCGAAGGTGGCTGTGTCTGTGCGACACGAGGGAGTCAGGGAGACACAGTCCAGTCGGCTTCCTGCACACTCACACGCTCTTTCTGTGCCCCACTCTCCCCAGCAGCTTCCCCCACCGCAACCCCCACCGTGAGCCCAGCTCCTCCTGCTCTCTGGCTCCTGCGGCTCTCCGCTCCGCCTTCCGGGGTAGCAGGGCCCGGGCAAAGCTGGGGGGCTGAATGAGAGCAGAGCATCCCGCACCCACTGAGGAATCCCTGGGAGCTGGTGGCAAATCCCCGAGCCCCGCCCCGCACCTGCTGTCTAAGTTAGGGAGACAGTTTGCTGTGTGTGACGGAGACCCGAGTGACAGTGTCCTCAGACATTGGCCCAGGGCCCAGGCTCCTTCCCTCTTGTTGCTCTGCAGTCCCTAAGGTGTTGCCCTCGTCCACGTGGCCCCGCATGGCTCACCTCCATGCCCACGTCCCAGCCAGCGGGAAAGGGGGTTGGAAGGTGGGGCGTGCCCTCCCCTTAAGGCCGGAGGTACCTGCGTGGCTCCTGCTCAGGGTTCGCCAGCGGAACTTAACCCACCAGCTGCAAGGGAGGCAGGGGCACAGAACCTCTGTCCTAGGCCGCCGTGTGTCCTGATCAAGGCCCAGGGCCTCCCATGGCAGGAAGGGAAGTGGATATTGGGGACCCTAGGGCCTCTGGCATGCAAATGGCTCCACTTCTTCTGGTGCCTGTGCTGGTGTTGGGAGCGGAGAGCCTGAGCCCAGGCCTCTAAGCCGGGAGGCCACGAGTTCAGGGGTCCTGAAAGAGTCGACTGCAGATTCAGACCTGAGTCCTCGAGCTCCTGTGGGCCGCCTCCCCTGGGTTCTGGAGGAAGGAGCGGGCCTGTGGCAGGCCCCAGACCCTCCAGCTTACGCTCTGGGCGCTCCTCAAGGGCCGTGTCTGCCGTCTCCTGCCCAGATCTGCCCACCGGCGGGGAAGGGCCTCGAGGTTCTCTGAACTAGCGGGAGGGGCACCTAGGGACAAGGGGTACAGGCCGAGGGCTTCTGGCCAGAGGCAGCCTGTCCCCGACCTCGTTTCCTGGACCAGGAAGTGAGCCCGGTCCCTCCTGCCCTGGGGTGGTCCTCCCGTAGGTCCAGCCTCAGGCCCCCCTCCAGGCTCAGGGGACAAGGAGATGGAGCCTCGGCCCCTCCTCACCGCCCTCTGCTTGCAGATTCCCAGCGATACCGGGTCACGGAGGAGCAGGCCCAGCAGAACCGGTTCCGGATGCCTGCCCTGGAGGAAGGTGGGTTGGCGGGGGCGGGAGGGGGTGATGCAGCTCAGCCCCCCCCCCCCCCCCCGGGCAGCCCCAGCAGCGCCCTCAGCAGGCAAGGGCCTGGTGTGAACATCTCCTCGTGGCAGTCAGTTCCTTGCCCAGTCTAAGCCAAAGCCTGTGTTCTTCCTCGCCGCCCTCCCCTCCTGGCGGGACGTGAAGAGGCGCGTGCCTCCAGGTCCCCCTGCCAACCCTGGGCCCTGCGTTGCAGACCCCCCCAGCCTGGGCCCCCAGCAGCGCCCCCGGAGCAGCAGCGGGTCCAGCACGTCGTCCGGGGAGGGCTACTGCAACAGCCCCCGCAGCAGGCTCCCGCCGTGGGGTCCCCTCCCGGAGCAGCCGCCGCGCCTGGAGCTGGCTGGCTCCCAGGGAACCTTCTCAGGTAAGCCAGGCTCCAGCTCCACAGACACAAGCTGTGTGACCTCGGACAAGTGTCCTCCCCTCTCTGGGCCTTCATCGCCTCACTCATCAAACTGGAGGCCTGACTCAGCGGAGTCCTGAGGCCTCCCAGCCCGGCCGGCCGTGTGCAGCGGCTGCCTCCAGGGGAGGTGACTGGCTCTGGGGTCTCCTGCAGGGCCCTCGGCTGATGACAGCTCCAGCACCTCCTCCGGGGAGTGGTACCAGAACTTCCAGCCGCCGCCGCTGCCCCCGCCCCCTCCCGAGGAGCCGTTTGGGTGTCCAGGTACCAGGGGCAGGGGCGGGGGTCCTGGGAGCGGGGACAGAGAGGGCTGGGGAGTGGGGCACATCTGGCTCCATTGGGCCCACCAGCCCAAGGAGAAAAAAAAATAGGTAAAGGGATTAGAGAGAGAGAGAGAGAGAGAGAGAGGGAAATGGAGGTGGATGGGACAGAGAGATTGAAAGGGGCTTGGATGGGGAGTGAGCTCCCCGCTGGGGGAGGCATTCAAGCGGAAGCAGCGGGTGGCCCGGGGGAGCTGGGGTGGCCGAGAGGCTCCCAGCTTCCATGGTCCTCGGGGTCTGGGGCCACGGAGGCAGGACAGCCCTGGACTAAGGTCAGGCTTTGCCCTCTGGGTGGGCATCTGAGCGAGGGACATGGTAGAGAACAGAGGGCCCGGTGGGATTCTCATCCCCCTCACCCACAGGGCCACGGGGAGGGGGGTGTGGGCCCGACCACTCAGCTCCGTCCCGCGGGGCGGTCGGGCACTGGCAGGGCTTCCCGCTGACCTGAGCCTCCGGCCCCGCAGGGTCCCCCAGCCCCCAGCCCGCTTCCACCGACAACGAGGACTACGATGACATCGGGGCAGCTTAGCCGGCCCGCGAGGCCCCAGGGGCTCTGCCTGCGCCCTGTCCGCCCTGTCCTCCCGGACCTGACCGTGCTCCTGCCCCACGCTGAGGGCCCCCCGGAGAGAGGAGGAGAAGCCATCCCCGCCTCCGTCCACAAACAGAACCTGCTGCACCGCCGCTGCCCGCCCCCAGCCCGCAGGGTGCGGGGCTGCCCCCCGGAGGGCGCGCTCTCCATCGCGGGTGGACTGGACGTGCCTGCCCTGCTCAGCAGCTGCCCCGAGGGCTGGACTGGGGGTCGCCGGGGACCCGACCGCGGGTTCTGGTCCTTTGGGGCTGAGGTTCAGGCAGCCCAGAGCCCAAGTAATGAGGGGCAGACCCCGTGCCACGGCCGTCCCTGCAGCAGGTCTGCGTCCGAGCCTCCCACGGCTCACAGCGTCCCAGCACGGCCCAGCGCGGCTCCGTCCCCGAGGGCGAAGGTGCAAGGAGACGGCCGGGAGGGGCCACGTGCCCGGCTGTCTGCCTGGGCAGGTGGGAGCCTCCCCGACCAGCCTGTGAACAGGCAGCGCCAGACCCAGAGCCCTGAACACGCAGCCTCCACGGAGGCCGGGGCAGCCTCCACAGCGGCCGGGGCAGCCTCCACGGAGGCCGGGGCCGCCTGGGATTAAACTAACTGCTGAGTGAAAGCAGGCGTGGAGCGACCAGTCCTTGACCTCCTATAGAACCCAGGCTGTGTGTTTGTGCATGTGTGTTGTTCACGTGTGCATGTGTGTTGTTCACATGTGCATGTGTGTTGTTTACATGTGCATGTGTGTTGTGCGTGTGCGTGCACGTGTGTGTTGTGCGTATGTGTGTGTTGTGTGTGTGTGCGTGTGCGTGTGTTGGTGGGCGCAGGTCTGTCCATCGAGGCAGCTGGGAAACGTACTGTGGCCGGTGCCCTGACAGACGCTGGGGATGCAAGGACAAGGCCCAGGCCTGTCCCCGGAGGAGGCGGCGGCTCGGAGTTCAGCAGCCACCAGGCTCCCTGGCCTGCCCAGCCCAGCCTGGCGCAGGGCACTGGGCTGTGGGCTGAGTGGGTCCTGCCTGGGGCAGTGCGAGGGGTTTCATGCTCAGAGCTGTCTGGCGAAGAAGTTGATCCCAGGCCCAGGAGGGTGGGGAGGGGCTGTGGACATGGAGGGGCGGTGGCCATGGAGGGGCGGTGGACAGGGCTCAGAGGAACTCCCCACCAGCTCAGGCACTGGCATTTCAGCCGGCTGCTGTGGCTGATGCCCGCCCTTGGCCTTGAGGGCGGGGCTGGGGCCCAGTGTCCTCTGGGCCGTCCCAGGCAGGGGTGCCGGGGGGCTGGGGGGCTGGCGGTGGACCTGCTCTCAGGCGGGGGGCCCGTGTCTGTTCACCTGTCCCAGAGGTGGAGCCGCTGGCTCCCCCAGGGCAACGGTCACAGGATGTGGTTGCTGCTGTGACGGGCCCCTCCCCAGGCCGAGGGGGATTCCTGGGGGAGGAGCCAGGGCTGGCGCGGGCGGGACAGGCTGCAGGGCTCTCTGTGGAAGCCTCTTTCTGGCAGGCAGCCTGGGTTCAAGTCCCGACTCCACCCTGTCCTGGCTGTGTGGTCTCCGGCAAGTCACCCAGCATCTCTGACCTTTGCTAGGAAGTTTGTCTGTAAGGTGCGCACTCAGGAGCAGGCACCACAGAGGTGACGGCAAGGGACGGAGGCTCGGCGATGAGCACTCCCTCTCGTCGTGAACCAATAGGTGGGGGGCCTCCTTAGAAGGAGAAAGGGGAGCCCGCCTGGCGGGGCTCAGGGGCTGAGCGTCCACCTGTGAACCAGGAGGTCCCGGTTCGATTCCGGGTCAGGGCCCCTGCCCGGCGGCAGGCTCCGTCCCCAGTGAGGGGCGTGCAGGAGGCAGCGGATCACTGATTCTCTCTCATCATCGATGTCTCTCTCTCCCTCTCCCTTCCTCTCTGAAATCAATAAAAATATTTTTTTAAAAGGAGAGAGGGAGGAGACAGCGTTCATGCTGGAGGCACGGGGCACCTTCCCGACTGCCAGATAAGGACCCTGAGGCCTGGCCGGGCAAGGCCTGCTCCACGGCCACTCAGCGAGTTAGCAGCCAAGTCAAAATTCAGCCCTACCCCCCCCCCCCCCCAGGAAGATGGTGACACCCTTTTCTCTTCCCGAGTTCTCCCTCGTTTCTCACCAAAGCCCCGCCCCCCCACCAGCACGAGAGAACTGGGGCTCCTGAGACGTGACTCCCTGCCCCTCCAGCCCCGGGCAGCCCGGAGGCCCCGGGCACACTGGCAGGGGCCATCCTGAGGGCTGGTGCCAGCACCTGCCAGAGCCAGCCCCCGGGTGGGGTGGGGGGCTGCTCACAGGGAGGCCCCCAATGTCTGTGCCTCCAGGGGACTCGGACCGTCCGCCTAAGGGAAGTCACAAGCAGAGCCGCCCTTTCAGGGGACCAGGGGGCATACTGAGCCTCGGGGCTCTGGGAGGGGAATGGAGGTGCCGCTGAGCCCCGATGTCGGGCACTCACACGGGGGGCGGGGGGGGGTTTGCACCCGAGAACAGAGACGCTGCGGCCGACTCACGGCTGTGCGAGCCCCGAGAGAGGATGGTGCGCGGGGAGTGAGGGCCCGGCTGGAGAGAGGCCGCCTGGAAGGCTTCCTGGGGGGTGATGCCCGAGTGGGGTTGCGAAGGATGAGTAGGAGTTTGCGATGGACGGAGAGAGGGAAGGGCAGGCCAAGGCCCGGGAATGGCCTATCAAAGACCGAATCAGAAACCTGGGGTTTGCGAGGTCAAAGGGGACCAGCCTAAGGAGAGGCTGAGCACGGCAATTCTCAGACGACGCGTCCCGAGGGGAGGAAACGGGCCCAGGGAGGTGAAGTGAGATGCCCGCGTGGCACAGCCGCTGCGCCCGCCCTTTCCGGCATCACATTCCCGACCGCAGTGCTGTTCGCACCACCGCATGTGAGGGCGGGGGGACCAGGCCCGGACATTCAGAGCCGCCCCCGGGGCCGGCGGGCGTGGGGCGGGCCTGGCTGCTGCCACCGGCCTCCCCACGAAGGCCCTTCCCGCGCTGCTCGTTCGCGCGAGGCCAGGGCTCGGCAGAGCCACCCGCTGACCCTGGGCTGCGCAGACGGGGCTCGGGCGACGTGGTGGCCGGTCCAGGAGCTTGGGCGCTCGGTCCCACGCCCAGGCCGGGCGTCCCGGCTGGTTCCCGGCCTTTCCCACTGGACGCCCCCCTCGGAGGCACAGCTGCGGCCCCCACTCGGCTCCCACGCTCCCTCTCGCCCCCTCTGTGGCGTCCACTTCCGCCCCTCCCTGCGGCCCTCCCGACGGCTCGGGGATGGGCAGGTGGCCGCGCCGTGAGGACCTTCTCAGTGTGGCCCCAGGCCCCCCCCCCCCCCCCCCCCGGCTTCGTGAAGGTGGGACGGAGGCTCCACACGAGGAGGAGCGGGGAGACCCATTCAAAGTGGCCTCAGTGGAAAGTTCATCTCCCACCACATCCTTCAGCTGTTTACCAGTTTGACGGGCTCTGCATCCTGACATGAAAAGAGGCTCACCCGCACCAGCATCATCGAGGAAGGACCGAAATAGCAACAGAGGAAGACAAAGGAGAGACAAAGGGAGGGAGGGAGGGAGGGAGGGAGGGAGGGAGAGAGAGGGAGAGAGGGGCTGGCAGATGTTGGGTGAGGCACCAGGCCCGGCCTGGACCCCTGGCGTGTGGCTCACTCAGTCCTCCCACCCCCCGGCCAGTGAGGTGGCCGAATCGCTGTCGCCTTCTGTCTGGGTGAGAAAAGGGAAACCCAGCCCTGGCTGGTGTGGCTCAGTGGATAGAGCGTCGGCCTGCGGACCGAAGGGTCCCGGGTTCGATTCGGGTCAAGGGCATGTGCCTCAGTTGCAGGCTCCTTCCGGGGCCCCGGCCCCGGTCAGGGAACATGCAGGAGGCAACCGGTCGATGTGTTTCTCTCACATCGATGTTTCTGTCTTTCCCCCTCTCTTCCACTTTCCCTAAAAATCAATGAAAAAATAACCTCGGGTGAGGATTTAAAAAAGAAAAGTGAAGCCCAGATAAGTCACAGACGAGGGACGCTCAGCTAGGACCCTGGGAGCCAGACACACAGTAGGGCTGCACAGGGCAGGCAGGAAGGAGATGGAAGGGGAGCAGGCGCAGAGCCCGCAGGGGAGGGTGGGAGGCCTCCTTTCTTGGGGGAGGGTAGCCACGCTCCCCCGCCTCCCCCCTGTTCCCCCGGGACCCAGCCCCAACCTGGCTGAGCAGGTGCCCCTTCCTGGCTCCCGCCCCCCGGGCCCACTACCCCCGCCCCCCAGTGCGGAAGGAGGAGAGGCAGCCAGGCCATCCTGGGCCTCCAGCTGCGGGGACCCCCTTAGCGTCGGGGCGCGGGGGTGGCCATTCCGGGCGGAGTAAAGTTGACTGACACCACGCCTCAGGGTTTGTTTTTCTGTGGACCATCTGTTCTCTCGCCCGCTTAACAGCTTTTCTCGCAATGGACTCATGTGTTTCAAAACCCACATTTATTGTAAAGGAGACTTGAGCCATTTTACAAAATACCTTCAATGGACGTGTTCAGGAGCGAAGGAACATCCACATTTTTTATTTTTTAGTTACAGTTTACAGTCACTATTACTGTGTATTAGCTTCCGATGTACAGGGACAACCTATTTTTAAATGCAGGGTGTCCCCCTGAAATGTATATGCACCGTAATAGCTGTAGCTCAGTGTTGAAAATGAAATGTATTTTAGCAAACACGGCCTTTGGAATTATTCAAGGGGTGTGTACACATTTTTGGGGAGACACCCTATAGTTCAGAAAAAGAATCTGGGTGTGTATGGATGGGTAGGAGAGCGAGACAGAGGGAGGGAGGAAGGGGTACATTATTATCAACTAAATGCATCACAATTGATTGTTGGTACATTATTATTGACTAGATGTATCACAATTGATTATTGGTACATTATTATTGACTAGATGTATCATAATTGATTATTGGTACATTATTATTGACTAGATGTATCAAAATTGATTATTGGTTCATTATTATTGACTAGATGTATCACAATTGATTATTGGTCCATTATTATTGAC